CTTTCAATAATCTGTGGCCTGTTTCCTTAGCAACTGCATTAAGCAAATCGATGGCAGTGGTGTCATTGGAATGGGAGGGCATGCCTCCTGCCCCCTCCCATGCCCCGCCACCCCCCCGCGTGGCCTTGCTCTGCTCTTACTTGCAGGCACAGCTCTTCTTTGCTGGGGCTGTTGGCTGCTGGCTCCTGTGACAGCCCCATATTCAGCCCTCACTCGCGTGTGGCCCCAAATAACAGGGGGACAGCTGACATCCTTGGGGACATCAGGGACCCTTGGCGTTGCATAGCCCAGTGGCTGTGGCGTTGGGGTGAGAGGGCTCAAGGTGAGTGGGGGGCCATGAGACACCCCCACCATGAACCTGGAAGGCCTGGAGATGGTCGCAGTGCTGGTGGTCTTGGTCCTCTTCGTCAAGGTGCTGGAGCAGTTCGGCCTCTTCGAGCCCGTGTCCTTGGAAGGTAACTGGAGTGGGAGGGGGCCTCTGGTGGGTTCCCACCTCACCAGGGTCACGGCTGTGTAGGGAGCCCCAGAGCTGCCCCCAAGGATGCTTTTAGGGTGTTGGGACATGGTGTCTGTCTGCAGCTGGTAGGGGTAAGCGTGGGGATAGGGTGTCCTGCCTGCTCCATGTAGAGTCATGGTGGCCAGGGATGTGGGGAGGGGATGGGACCCCAGTGTGGCACAGGGATAGTGGGGTGTCTGTGTGAGATTGGGGTGTGCTGGGGGCTCTGGGATGCTCTGGGGACAGGCAGGGGATGGCAGCATGCATCCCACCCACCAGAAGGATGCTGTGGGTACACCATCAGGAGGTGACAGGCACTTTGCCTGGACCACAGTTGTGTCCTGGGGCTGATTCATACCCTGGCTTCCCCCCGTCCCCCTGCTTTTGTTGCCCTAAGCCTTGTACTGAAGTCAGTGGCACTGTGGTGTGCTGGCTCCAAACTGCAGTGGGGAGGGGGAAGCAGAGGGGAGCCTGTCAGTGCCAACCCTACTGGGAGGCACAGGGCATGGCAGGAACCAGCCCTTGGCTGAGCCCTGTCCCCAGGGGCACAGTTCTTGTCCCCAGCAAGAGACTCTGTAGCAGGTGGGGATGGGGGTCCTGTGCCCACACATTTAGATAGACAACAGCATCCCCATGTAGCCCTCCATCTCATGGTATCACCACCATGGAGTTTGGATGGGCTATCCCTCTCTATTCATGTCACCACACAGGGACCTGCATGTCCCCTTGGCTAGGGACACTGGGGAGCACAGGGATTTGCCCCGGGTGTAGAGACAGGAGTGGGACCAGGTGCCCTGGATCAGCTCCCATCCCCACAGGGGTGAGTGGAGGAGAGGGAAACACTGGCTGGAGAGGCTGGGTCCTGGTACCATGTCCTGAGTGCTGCCTGCATCTCCCATTGGCTTTGTCACCCCCTGGGCTCTGGAGGTGGCAGATAGGATGCTTTGCCTACTGAGGATGGCCCCAGGTGGTGTTGAGGATGGGGAAGTGTCTAGTGCTCTGCCTGCCTGTTTACCAGCTGTGCCCAATGACAGCCCATGGACTGCAAAAAGCCTGAAACCATACACTAATGGTTTGGGTCTGCTAATGGACGGCACTCCAGAGCCACCACAGCAGCTGCACTTCCCCCACACACGGTGCTGAAGCCACAGCCAGTCCCCCTTGCCCCATCCACGTGGCCATGCTGGTGTCATCTCAGGGGTGACTCTAGACCTGGTGTCATTTTCCAGCCAGTTAATCACTGCCAAGTGCTGTCACCCCGCTGTGCCCTGTGCCACCACCTGACCTGTGCCCATCACCAACCCCTGCCAAGAGCCTGCCGTGGTCAAGTCCTCGGGAGGGGACAGGAGAAGAAAAAAACTGTTGTTTTTGGCTGCTGAAGTGCAGTATCAATAATTAATTGAGGAGAAATTGGCTCCGGCTGGGAGCAGGGCTGGGCAGGCAGATAGAGAGCCAGGAGAGCCGCCCACATAACTGAGCTGTGGATGAATATGAGATGGAGCTGCAGACTGTGAGTGATGGGATAGCGAGTGCCAGGTCCCATCTGTGGGGTGGGTGGAAGGGATCATCTTGGTGAGCTCCTGGGGTGTGCTGGGTGGGTGATGCCTGAGACATGGGGCTGGGAGGCACCTCCCAGTGGGGTGAGCGTCCCTGCGGGGTGAGGAGAACACAGAGGGCAGGACCTGGCCTTGCATCCTGACCCCATTGCCTCTAACTCCCAGCACTGAGCAGCCCCGAGGACCATGGTGTGCACCCTTCTGACTTGGCATGGTGCCACATCCCGCTCAGCCCAGCCAGACATAATTAGCTTGTTGAACCTCTTCTCCCTCTGGCCTCATATTAATCACTTCTCACACTGCTCCTCTCCCAGCTCCCTCTGGCTGGGCTCTTGCCTCACTGATGTGCCCAATGAGGGGACCCCAAACTGCTGCATCCCATACTCTCCTCTCTCCTGCCTTGCCGGGTCAGGCACTGCACTGGGGGATGTCATTCCCTGCTGCGCTCTGGGACCTGCAGGAGCTGAAAACAGTGGGCATTATCCTGCTGCTCTGCTCCAGCTTCAAGCTGCTCCATGTCTTGGGCATCATCGACCTGACTGAGGGAGGTGGAACCAAAACTGTGATGGGGTTGCAGTGGGGTGTGAATGCGGTGGAGTGGGATTACAATGGGGTGTGGGTGCAGTGTAAAAGTTGGTCCCTGCTTCCTGTGCCAGGGCAGTGTGTGCTGTATGCAGGAGCTGCAGGGTGCTCTTGGGATGCTGAGGAGAATGTGTTCTGGGGCATGTGGAGGGTATGCAGGTGTCTGAGGGGACCAGGATGTAAGGAGCTGAGGAAGTGAGGGGTTTGGGTGGTGGGGTGTGAGTTATTGGGAATTGTTACAATATTAGAGTGGGGAGAAGCATTGGGATGTTGGGGTATCGGGGATGATGGAGTGGGGGATATCTGAGTCCTTGGGATGTAGGGTGTTGAGATGCTGCATTATTGAAAGTTGGGATGGCTGGGAGCATTAGGGTGGGGAGAACACCTGGGTCTGGACCCAAAATAAGCCCAGGCAGGGGATGCAGGACCTATTGCTTATGCCTGGAGATGTTGGAGTGCAGAGAGGCACAATGTTGCTGCTTGTCCCCTTTGGCTGCCATCTTGGTCCGTGCTACCAGCAGTTCTGTCTGGGATGAAGGTTGCTGGCAGACTCTGTGCAGTGTGCTTTGAATTTCCCTCAGTACCCATCACAGCCAGCATTGGGGATGCTGTGAGATGAAGGGATTGCAGGTTTCATCCCACTGGGCAGGATGGGGAGTGTGATAGAGGGCATGCGGATAAAAGCGAGGCAATTGGTGGCAGAGCACAGGGAGGGGAGCAGGGAACTGTGCCCAGGGGCTGCTTGTGCGTGAGGATGCCCTTGAGCTGCTTTTTGACCCTATCACATCCAGGGTGGATGCTGGAGACAAGGGGACAGCGTGCCCAGCAGAGCCCTCGGGTGTGCCAAAGCCAGGACAGCAAAGCGCCAGCCCCGGTCTCCCTCTCCTGTTGTTGAGCTGCATGTGCTGAACCCTCTCCCTCCCACCCTGGGTCCCCCAGAATTGCGCCCTGTTCAGTTTTCTCCTTAAGAAAACGCCTGTGTTATTTTTTTTTCTTTTTCCTTCTTTATAACAAACTAAAGTGTAACTTGCACCCGACCTGACCTACTGCACGTGCCTATACCTGCTGCCCCTGTGAGTCCAACCACGGTTTATTCTCTGTTGCATCTCTCTGGCTTGGTGGTACCCCCTGCCCCGTTCCTCCCGTGGTTCCACTGCCAGTGCTGTGTCACTGCCTGCCCTGTCCCCAGGACTGCTCCTGCTCCTAGGGCTGGTCCCACAGCGTGGTGCTGCTGGGGATGGGGCTGGATGCAGAGCATCCTAGGCAGGCTGGAAGGTGCCATGTCCCGATGCAAATAGCAGCTCTGTAAAATAGCTGGGTAAAATCATGCTTGCAGCATCCCTGCTGAGGATGCATCTCCTTAGACACATGCTTGCCTTCTCTGAGGGGCCTTGTGTGACATCCCACTGGGGGGGACACCGACCTCCTAGAACTATTCTCCACCACCTGAAGGCAATGGGGCCACACACTGGTGTGTATTCAAAGGGACTTTGCACCTTCTGTCCTATTGCCTGCCTGCTTTTGGGGGCTGGAGCCCAGCATGGCATTCTTCTCCTCCTCTTCCTCCTCCCCACCTGCGCTGCTCACCCTGTGCTGTTTGCCAGCTTGGGGCAGTCTGTGGGGCCCTGGGAAAGGGGGGAGCAGGTATGTGGCCAAGGGGCAGCACCAGGTCGGGGGAGATGGGTCATGGCAAACAGTGGGATCAAGTCTAAGGGGAGGGTGTGCAGAGCAGGGGAACCTGGAAGTGATGGCAGTAACCAGGTTGAAGCAGGGGACCCCTGGAAGAGGCAAAGGCCCCATCCCCTCCTGGCTGTCCCCACCCAGGGCCCTGGGCTTGGCTGCACTAGGGTGGGAATGCATGCAGCAGAGGGGCTGCATGGCTGAGCTGGGGGCATGATTCGCGTTCAGCCCTGTGGGCCAGCAGGATCAAACCCGGCCCCGTGCCCCTGGGTAGGATGTAGTGCCCTGGGGGATGCAGTCCCATTCTGAGCTTCATCCTGAACAGCCCCACGTGGAGGGAGTTCCCCATGGAGCAGGCATTTGGCTTTGGGGCTAAAGGGCAGAGGCCAGCCCTGCCATCTCCTTGGCTGCTGGGCTCCACTGCTGTGCTCTGATGGGTGTCCAGACATGCTGGCCATGGGTCGGGGCCACCTTTCTACCATTCCCTTCCGATGAGGGAAGCAACTGGGCCGGGTTTGTCCTGGGATGGAGCAGAAAGGCTGAGTAGATCTGGGCTTGGCTTTGCCTCCCTGCTCCATCCCCATCTGCATGCACTGATCCCGCTCACCCCATGCTGGACACCCTGTATCCGGGGCCTGCTGCTCTGTTAACTCTTCTTCTGCTTGGTGACTCCTTCTTTCTTCCAGGCAACCCGCCGGGCCAAACTAAAAAAGCGCTGAAGCAGCGATTCCTCAAACTGCTGCCCTGCTGCCGGCCCAAATCCATACCCTCGCTCAGCGAAAGCAAGTGCTTCTTCTTGCCTTTGTGTGTGTGTGTCCCCAGCAGTGCTGCTGGCTGCTGTCCCCCCTGCCCTGCAGCGTGGGGGGGGTCAGGATCAGTCCTGCCCCTGAGGGTCCGATCCGATGGGCTCTGCACCCACCTCCCTCCTCGCCTGCTCCCGGTCTGTTTTACCCCCTCCAGCACATTGGAGAGGCTCTGATGGGATGCACGGCGGTGGCTGGACCTGGCTGGGGGAAGTAGAACCACTCCCCGGTGCTGTTTGAAGGGCTGGAGGATGCTGCTGGAAGCTTTGTGTCAGAGATGTGAAGGGGAGGGAGGGGGATGAGCAGAGACAGAGCCCCCCAGCCTGTCCTGTCCTTGGCCCCTTGGGAGGCCCTGAATGGGAATATTCCCTGTTCCATGGCATAAGCTGAGCCCCCTGCGGGAAGAGGTGAGTATGAAGGGGCAGAGTCTGGGGATCCAGAGCCTCTCAGGGTTGTAGTGGGGGCCCTGGTCACTGTAGGAATGGGGAGAAACCATAGCTGAAGATGGGGCACAGCAGGCAGGATGGGGGCTAGACAAGCTGGAGGGAGTGTTTGGAGTTGGGAGGGGGGAAGATCTGCTAGAGACAAGCCCCAGCGCAGCACAGACCTTCAGGCATCCGGGGTCTCGGCTCCATGGCGCAGATGATCATGCTAGGGAAGAGCAGGCAGGGCTGTGTTCCCTCCTGGCGTACACCTGGTTGCAGCTGAGCAGGACACCCCAGAAACCTGCTGTCCTGAGTGGAGGTGTGCAGTGTGAAGCACACCTCCTGCCCCTAGCACTGCAGGGCTGGGCAGGACAGCACGGCTTCAGCTGCCCTCTCCTCCCCCAACTTCCTTGCAGACAGTGTCGAGGATGAGTTTGAGCTCTCCACCGTCTGCCACCGCCCCGAGGGGCTGGAGCAGCTCCAGGAGCAGACCAAGTTCACCCGCAAGGAGCTGCAGGTCCTGTACCGGGGCTTCAAGAACGTGAGTAGCCCTCACTCCTTCTCCGCAGCCATGCACCCCTTGGGGATACTTTTGCGTCCTGTTGTCACACTCTGAATGGCTACAGATGGCAGCAGTGGGGATTCAGTTTCCCCTGAAGCTCTGGGGGATGCCCTAATCCTGGGATTTAGGGGCAGAGAGCCCTGAGCATCGCACCATTCCCTGTGCTGATGGTGTGATGCTTCCATTTGCCCCGGCAGGAGTGCCCAAGTGGCATTGTTAATGAAGAAAACTTCAAGCAGATCTACTCACAGTTCTTCCCACAAGGAGGTGAGTGTGAGTCCCCACCCCTGGTGTCCCACGTGGGACTGTCTTCTCTCTCACTGTTTGCCTCCTCCAGACTCCAGCACGTATGCCACCTTCCTTTTCAATGCCTTCGACACCGATCATGATGGCTCTGTCAGCTTTGAGGTGAGCCAAGGAGGGGACCAGGCTTTGCCAGGGGCTCTCAGTTAGTGTGCCATGGGCTGGGACTGCCATGGGCAGCTGCTGAAGGACTTTGCTAGTGGGAAAAAAAGTACAAAGAAACAACAGAAAGAGTTCTGTAGTTTCTGGTTGAGGGAAAAGACTCGTGGCATTTCTGTGGGGCTGTCACTCCAAAGGGTGACCACCTGCTTTGCAGGACTTTGTGTCTGGGCTGTCCATCATCCTGCGAGGCACCATCGATGACCGCCTGAACTGGGCCTTCAATCTCTATGACCTGAACAAAGACGGCTGCATCACCAAAGAGGTGGGAGAGGGGTCCAGGCTGAAGCAGCTTTGCACCCAGTGGGGATGAGGGCAGGGCTCAGGGCATTTCCTTGAGAATTTCATGGGTCTTTTTTGGGCATAATGAACAACATTTGCGATGGGAACCCGATGGAGGCAGAGTTTCTCCACACTGCAACACTGCCTTCCATCCAGGAAATGCTGGACATCATGAAATCCATCTATGACATGATGGGCAAGTACACCTACCCGGCCATGCGGGAGGAAGCACCCCGAGAGCACGTGGAGAATTTCTTCCAGGTGAGCTGGGCACGTCTTTGGGGACCCTGCATGCAGAAAACACCCTGTGCTGGGGACAAAGCAGGGCTCCAGTGAGCAGCTTGCCTGGGACAGGGTGGGGTTCAAGCCTGAAGTGCTCTCTGGAAAGGTTTTGGCAATGGGTGCTCTGCTTTGCATCCAACCCCTATGGAACCTGGGCTGGGGGTGCTGGGTTGTCCCTGTCCCTGCAATGCCCTCTATGCTGTGCTTGTCTGCAGAAAATGGACCGAAACAAAGATGGTGTGGTGACAATCGAGGAGTTCCTGGAGTCCTGCCAGAAGGTAAAGCCACAGGGCTCAGTGCAGCACTGCTGGGGCTCTGCTCTAGGAGCCATGTTCATCATCCCTGTGCGGGTGGAGAACAGTGCATCCCAGTACGGCCCTTGTAAGCCCCGGAGCTCCTGTCCTGTGTGTCAAAGCAGCTGGACAAGATCCATGGGGTGACACCCGCTTTGGGGGAGCAGCCCAGAGAGCTGCTTTGTGCCCAAACCCTCCTCCTCCCTGCAGGATGAGAACATCATGAGGTCCATGCAGCTCTTCGACAACGTGATTTAGCTGTCTCCAGCTGAGCACTACTGACATCGGGCTCAGACCCCACTCCTCTCTCGACTTCTCCTTCCAGCCCTTCCTGCTGCCAGCTGCCACACAGAGACATGGTCAGCACCTGGATGTATCCTTCCCCCGAGGCCAGCCCCGCTTTCCTTGGGGAGCCCACAAAAGTGCCACCAGAGCGTGGGCGCAGCTGGCACGGGGCATCTGGCCTGGGTGGGCTTCTTGCACCTGATCCTAGAGGGAAAGCCGCAGCTCTGGCTGCCATAGGGGCTTCCCCGTGCCCCCACATCATGACCCCCTCAGCAGCCCCAGCACCGGCTCCAGCCCGGACCCTCCAGCAACACTTCTAGGGACTAAGAGTCTCGCAGCAGGCATCAGCTTCCTCCTGTGCCCTGATGTTAGGGACAGCCACGGGACCCTCCTCGCTCACTCAGAGTGCCGGGCTCCCTCTGTTTGTCACCAACAGCTGCCTGGAGCTGGGTGTGCACTCCTGTCCCACCCGTGCGTCCCTCCAAGTCCTGTCTGGGGACTAATGTCTCCACACCAAACTCCTGCTCAGCCCCACCGGCTTCAGGTCCTCTCCGCAGCCTGGCCCAGCTGCTCCCAGCACTGTGTCCAGAGGGGCAGCGGCGGTTGGGATTGATGGGGAACGGGTGAGCAAGGCTGTGCACCACACCAGGCTGAGCCCTGGTGTCAGAGCCGTTCGGACCCCCCCCTCACAGGGCTCTGAGCCTCAGCTGCGGAGCAGCCCCCACCGGGCCTGCTCCAGGCTTGGCTTGTGCAGATGCGATGTGTTTTTTAGCTCTGTCCACCACACTGTTCATCTCACAGCCCTGCTCCTGGGCGGGAGGGCAGGAAACCCCAACCCCGCCTGTCCTGCACACACTGTCCCCCGCACGCAGAGCGGAGGCCTCCTCCCTCCATCCCTCCATCCCTCCATCCCTCCATCCCTCCCTCCCTCCCTCACGCTGCA